ATTCATTAAGATAAACTACATACTAGGTCACAAAACAAACTTAACAAAATTGAAAGTAATGAAATATGTTATACAACAGTAATGGAATTATACTGGAAATCAGTAGTAGAAAGATAAAAGGAAAACTCTCAAACACTTCAAAATTAAAGCACATACCAAAATAATCCTTAAGTCTTAACACAAATTTTTTAAAAATCTACACTGAAAAAAAATGAAAATATAACATAAGAAATAAGAAATAAAGCTAAAAGTATCAAAAGAGAAATTTATAACATAGCTGATTATATTAGGAAAAGAAATTTTCAAATCAATAGTTTGGCAACTAGAAAAAGAAGGGCAAAATAAACTCAAAACAGAAATCAATGAACATGAAAACAGAAAAATAACGAAATCAAAACCTTATTCTTTGAAATATCAATAAAATTGACAAACCTCTAGCAAGATCAACAAGGAGGGGGAGAAAGAGAAAGAGGACATAAATTACCAGTGTTAGGAATGACTAAAATATCTAATCTATCATAATATTTTACCACTGCAGTATAATAGAGTCATAAAATACAGAGAAATATGAAGTTGTATATTGAATGTTAAATCTAGCAATGCATATTTAAATCCCTCTTCACTTTCCAAGTTTCTTCCCATAATAATTCCTTAATTCCTTCCTCTGTATTCTTATAGCAACTTATTCTCACAATTCTTCCACATTTGTCCCTTTGTGTGTATGTGTGTGTGTGTGTGTGTGTGTGTGTGTGTGTGTGTGAGAGTGTGTGTGTGCACCATCTCCTATGAAACTGTATGTTGTGCTCATTTTTTTTATATCCCTCTCCTTCTTGGTATGATGCCCAGTGCCATGAAAGTTCAGGGTGTAATAAGGAATAATGTATTTGGTACATTAAAAATTTATTAAAATTTTTTTTTAAATTATTAAATAGTCAGTTGTATAATCCAACCAGAAAAGGCTATAGAGACCAGAAAAACCATGTTTACATCCTGGCTCTGTATTAACTGGTAAATTTTGAAAACTTCATTGACCTCCTTGACTCTCGATTTTCTTTTGTAAGAAGAGATCACAGTATCAACTTGCAAAGTTCTTGTAAAAAATTCTATGCCTGTATTAGAAGAGAGGTTTAGGATTTCTGGGTATCTTCATTTTGTTTCTCTATTGTATGAGAAGTACATCTTAAGAGAGTGGTGTTCAAATTGTGTTCAGCCAGGGAATATAAAGATGATCCACCGGGATATCAGTGGGAAATAGTAGAATTTATATTTTTTCTTTATCTCATCATTTTAAAATTTGCTATCTCTGCATTATAAAGTATGTATGCTAATATAGTAACGTTGACATGCATGTATATGATTTATAAATAAATATACATATTTTGAAGTTATCTACAAAAACATTTTCCTAGATGTGATGAGTCATTGTAAAAGTTTTCAGACAGTAAAGGAAGGGAAAAAACGGTCAATGTTCTTTGGGTAAGACAATGTAGCTTGAGTAAGATAGATCAAGAGATATCTGCTGTTTTTTAAACCAAAGCATTGAAATATTCTATCAGGTCACCATGGAAGAAAGAGAATCAAAAATATCTGAATACCTAGACCAATAGTTCTTATCCAGAGATTATTTTGACCTACAGTGAATATCCAAAAATGTCTTGATGTATTTTTTTTTATCTAAGGGAAGAATACCACTGGTATCCAGAGGGTAGAGATCAAAGGTGCTGCTGAGCACTGTATAATACATGTAACTGTCCTTCATGACAAAGAATTATTTAGCTCCAAATGTTAATAGTGGCAACCCTGACCAAGAATAGGATGTGATCAAGGTTCAAACTAGTTCTGATATTTAGAGGCACATAGCCAAATAATTTAAATCATATTGCAAATTTTTAATCAATTTGTAAAAACTAACAGTAGTTGCTTACACCTTACCAAAGTGTCACTTTCAGATGACACTAAAATGCCTGTTATATGGACTATTAAATCTTACTGTATTGGAATAAAGGGACAAATCAATGGCATTACAACAAAAGGGAGCAAAAAGTATGTGGATCCATTTCATCAGCACACATGTTAAAATACCAAAGATCTTTCAAAAGAGCTAGAACAAATGGCTGAGCTAATCACTAGTCACACACTGGATCTCCCATTGTGCATTAACAATGGGGAAAAATGTTCAATAATAAAATAATGGCTAACATGTTCAAAGAACAAACCAAAAGTAGAAATTCGAATTTTTGATATTTGATTTTATAAGTAGTAAAGAAAACTAATTTGTTGAAATTCATCTTCCATGGGAAAAAGACCAATACTTAGTAAGTTGACTTGCATATAAGTCTAAATGAAATTATTTGCATTTCTCTTTCTTTTTCTTCTTTAATTTAATTGAGAGTCATGCCAGTGGATTGCACATAATACCATGAAAGCCTAGAAACTCCATTCTAATTCTAAACCAGTCTAAAACTCGACAATCCATCATTTTGTGTATGTGTGACCAACTCACTTAGGAATTGAGATGTTTCATGGTTTTTTAATTTATTTTTTTTTATTGTGCTGGATGACATTTACAAAAGTCCTTACATTATATCTAATATAGCACACTCTAATTCACCCCCTTCATCATTGTCCTTTACCTCTCCCTCACCCCGCATTCCTGGAATAGTTTCAATAGGTCTCATTTTTCAATTTACATACATGTGTACACAATATTTGCACCATATTCACCCTTCTACCCCCTTCTCCCCTCATCCTTCCACACACAAGACCTGTTCTGCCCTCCTATTCTCCATTTTTGTAAAAAAAGAAAATTTGAACAATTTTTTGTTTGTTCAAATAACTACACAGGGAGTTTCCTTGTGACATTGCCACGTATATATGTATTATAGCCCAAATAGGTTGGTCTCCTTTATTTTTCTCCTTTCTACCTTAATCCCCTTCTTATGATGACTTCAACAGGTTTAAAAAATTCTATACTCATTCCTGTATAGGAAGTACATCAACCATAGTCACCTTCTTCCTTCTTTTACCCTTTCTCTCTCATATGTGACCTTCCCTTATCATGACCTGTTTTTCATAATATTGCTTATATTTGTATTGGGTCTATATTCCATATATGAGAGAAAATATGTGGCATGTTGCCTTCTGACCTGGATAACTTCACTTAAGATGATATTCCTTAGTTCCATCCTTTTAACTGCAAACAACAAAATTTCATCCTTTATGGCTGAATAAAAAGGAATTGAGATTTTTGAGGTGATAGACCATTCTGTCTACTTTTCCATAGCTCATCTAAAACCCATTGAAACAATGGTGAGATGATAATTTCACATGCTGTACAATGAGGTGCCCCATAGATAACAAGGAATAAAGACAAAGATGTAGGAAACAGAAAACTAAAAATGTGAGTAATTACATTTTGTGATGAAAATGGCTAATCAATTTCAACTTAGATTTATTAGGAGAAAATACCATTTCATGAAATGTGTAAGAGAAATTTGGAAGTGAGAAGGTAATATTAAAATCAAGATTCTTTAATCATTGGCAGGCTTCCCCAACTATATTCATACATTTTTATAAGTTCATTAAACTTTTTAAAAGAATGATTCTGCCTTTTTTCTTCTAATTTAAATATTTATGAGAGGAGAGCTCACACGGAACTGCAAAGACCTAAAAAATCACTCTTTTCTAAATGCAGGAAAAAAGGAATTCACAAGGGAAAAGAGCTTATCCTGAAATGATTTATCTGAAGCCAGTCAACTCTGTTTTACTTTCCAGATTATGCTATTAGGAAGACCAACCCCCAGGTGTCTAAATTAATCAATGGCCTGGTTTAAAGCTCTGCAAACCCTTTTAGGTTATTTTTTTTTCTTTGTAAGGCATCATTTGTTTAAGCCTCTATTTGCATACAGGAAACAAAAACATATTTATCATATTTATTCATCTTAAATCATATTCAAGCTTTTAAATGTCTTACATTTGTAATCACCAGAACTTAATTGTGTCTACACAGTGGAAAGTAGAAATTTCACAGCATTTAAATTAGTTTAAATTGAAGGTTCCCAAGTTTTGTATGCCTGAGAATAACCTAGGAGTGTTTGCTAAAAATATACTTTCCCAGGACCTAATCTAGAAATTCAGATTCAGTAGGTAAAAAATGGAAGAAGGAAACCTAAATTCATTTCATTTGGAATCCTATTATTTTACTTAGTTATTAAATTAAGATATATAATTAAACAATCACTTAATGAAGTACAATTTCTTCTCATTTGCATAGACCTATACAAACGGTTTTCTCAAATTACTATAGTAAATACATCCAGAAGCATTGAAACCAAAATACTATAAAGATTCACTTATCTTTGGCCAAAGTAATTGAATGGAGTAGGGAGACCAAGGACTTCTCAAGTCAGTCCCCAAGCAGTCAAAGCTACAAAGCTTTTGCCTTTACCAAAACTAGAGTTGGAAAATGTGCTCCAGTGGTTTCTGTAAGGATTAAATGAGGGAGTACTTAATGAATCCTAGAACAGCAGCTGCTTCTCAGTCATTATTAGATATCATCTATTCTTCTCCAATGTATGCTTCCTTTATGACAATCAACTCGTGTATGATGAGCAAGTCAGAATTGGTATCAGTATAACAGACAAGTTGTATTTGCTTAAATGTGATTTTTTCCTTGGCAGAAGGAACCAAAAAAGTGGAAAGAAAATTATAACCTTCAGCTGGTGTGGTAGAGTACTTCTGAAATCCTAACCAGGACCTGGACAAAAAGTGCAAAATAAACTAAAGAAAAAGGGCTGGGGGCATGAGTCACAGCTAAGCAAGCACAGGCTCTGAATTAAACCCTGGTATTGCCAAGACAATTTAAAAAAAAAAATACAACCTTTCGTAGGAAAAGACATAACTGTTAACCTGAATGCTACACAGAGTAGACCTTTTTTCTTCTATTTTAAGAAAAATTAAAGTGATTGCTGATCCATGGGTTCTTAACCAGAAAAACGTACCTTCTTCCTTGCTCAGCTCTTGACTTCTAACCCTCCCCTTCCTCCCATGTGCAGGAGTCACTTCCATTTTCTATGTCTTGATGCCAGGAAGCTGACATTTCCACTGAATTGTTTTTGTGCCTTTTTAATGTCTTCTGAGGCAGCCTCAGGCCACAGTGAGCTGGGCAAGTTATTTCCTGAGATATCCATATTGTTATTGTGGCACTCTAAGCAGAGTACAATCTGTTTTGACATTGACAACACTTCCTCTTCAGATCTCCTGTCTTTCTTAAGCCCTGTCATAGTCTGTTGTGTGTTGCTGTAATGAAAGTATTAACTAATCCAATCTGTGAGAGCAGGAAAACACTCCCGTGACACTTAACTCACCCCAGTGAAAACAGAATTAATCCCTTCTAAAGACCTAGTCACCATCTTTTAAAGACCTCATTACCATTACAGTGGAGACCATTAGGGGACAATCCATATCCAACCTATAACAGGCCCCTTGCCTCACTCATAGGGCATGGAATTTTCAAAGCACTTAGAAAGTAAGATATTTTAACTATCTCTTTCAAGACCATTGTTTCTTTTCACTTCAATTTATTCTCCATCAAATGATTTGGAATGGATGCATCATTTGGGGGAGAGTTCAGTTGAGGGAAGAGGAATTGTGGATATATTTGGTCTGAGTATATTATATATTCTTGTGGGGGGGTAGTCACTTCCACACACAGTTTAGTTGTTGCTTGCTTATTCCAAAATATGGATTGTTCCCAAGAATGGCCACACAACCCACTGTACCAACTCACCCAGCATTGTGATAGAAAGGAAAAAATGAATGTGTGATTGAAGTGTGTCCCACAATTATGTGTACTAAAAGTTTCTGCATGATTCTCTGGACAGTGATGGTGAAACAAAGTTTTAAATATAGAAACCAGAAGAGTGTGTGGAAAATTCTTTGAAATAGATCATTACCACTTGTATGTGAAAGAAACCTAATAGAATTTTTTTCTTTTTCAAATTTGGTAACAGTCCTATATATTTACACATTGCCACTAATAAGTAGTAAGGCTGAAAAAAAAATTAAACCAAGATTAGTTAAAAGTAAGCTGCAATCCACCATGGTAGTAGAACACTATTTTAGTTTTCTTTTCTCGTTTTGGAAAAAGATATTTTAAAGTTGTTGTTGTATGAAGAGAGGCACAAAAATTTATTGACAAAAATATAATAAACATGTAAGAATTTGTACTATTGGGTTCTGTCAGACAGTTAATCTTGTGTATTATTTTCCTTAGAGAGATTCCTCTCCGCCATTTTTCCTTAGACTTGAGGAAATAGCTCCTCCACTGTCTTTGATTTTTCCTGTAAGTCCTGTTATTTTTTTGTTTTGCTTTTCACAAGAATGCATATATTGTGTTGTAAGAGAAAAAGCTGTTGCTATTACCACTGTGACTATGGATCCTGAGATGAGGATTGGAAGTTATAAGTAACCAAACCAGTTCAATTGTAGATTTTGTAAAATAGTAACACATTTTCTAAAAACAGAATTTTAAGAAAATATCAAGAGAATTAAAACCAATAAAAAATATGGCCCTTTCTTTTTTTGAAAATTAAAACTAAGTGGATCATTGATTCCCTGACATAGTTATTGAATTATATTTTATTTTAAAAATCACAAAATATTTCTTCAAGTTTTTTTTTAATTTATTAACATCTAGCCTGGACAACAAGGTCCATGTCCTGCCTAAGAAAATACCTAATTTAAGTGTTTATTTAAATGAATTTAAATTATGTGTTTAATCGTTTATTATTGAGATGTGAATAATACAAACCATCCTTAATTTTATTAGGGATAACCACCATTTAACACAATGCATCTGCTTGCCTGAACATTGCCATCCAGTTGCTTATTAGTAACTTTCTGTGAGAAAACAAAATGAAGCAGCCTAAAGGATAGAGCATGACAGGAGCCCTGTACACTGGACAATCAGGAATGAACACACAGGAAATGCTGAGGAAGTCACATTTCAACAGAGGATAGAGCAAAATAAGGAAGTCAGTCATGTAAATGTTTTGAAGAAACCCATTCCCCTCCATATAGCAGACAAATTCTGAGACTTTAAGCAGAGTATGATAAATGAGAAAGCCAAAACTTAAAAGTAAATAGTTCAATATAGCTTAAATATTTTATACTTGTAATGAAATATATAATTTTAATATTAAATTAAACACATGCCAAATTAAGTATTAAACACAGGTCAGAATATGTAGTTTAAGAATTTTATGATTAATATGTTCTGAAACATTAAATCATTAACCTGCTCTGAAATGTTTTTAGTGTTAAATGATCATTTTCCTGTCATTTTATACTGAAATAGCTTATTATTAATTATCCTTAAATATTTAAGCTCACATCTCCATAATATAAAACTATTTAGGTATTATTTTTATTATAAAATTATCCTTTAAATTTTATTTGAATGAAGTTAAATAATTTGAATAAAATTATCTTTTCTTCTGTCATTATCACTAATGAGTATGTCCCAAGTGTCAGCAGGATGCATCAAGGTGTATATTCATCAAAGGTAGCCAAGCTACACAATGGAGTATTGTTCACCCATAAAGAAAAATGAAATTATGTCATTTGCATATAAATGGATGATACCAGAGATCATCATGCCAAGTAAGCCAGCTTCAGAAAGACAAAGGCTGTGCATTCATTTTCTCTCAAATGTGGAAGATAGATCCAAAAGACTAACATGCACAAATACAAATATGATCATACACACATACACACACACACACACACACATATATAAAACACATATGTAACAGTGGGACTGTTTGAGAGGACTGGGGAGACTATGGAGAGGGAAAGAGATGAATAATAACAAAATACATTTCATCTGTGTAGGAAGACGGCATAACAAAATACACTGAAAGCTGTTGGGAAAGGGGAAGGAGAAGGGAGAGTACTAGAGGGGCTTACTCTGATCAAAGTACAATATATTCACTGGTGAAACACCATGGTGACACTCCTTTGAACAAGGAATATACACTTGGAAAAATGAAAGACAAATGAAAAGCAGGTCATATTTGGAGGGGTGTATACTAGTTGGGGGAAGGTAAATGGAGAAGATCAAGGAGGGGGAATAAAGTCAATGTACTTTATATACCTCTATGACAATAGAACAATGAAACGAGATTATTTTCAGTAACGGAGGGGGGTGAGAGAGAATGATGGAGAAGATGAGCCTAACCAAGGCACATTACAAACATATATAGAAATGTGACACTGAAACCCCCCTGTACAACTAACATATGTTAATAAAAATGTTTTTAAAAAGGTGTTGTTAGACATGAGTTTTGACTGCCAAGTGTTTATGAAATTTATTTTTGTAAATCAGAAAGGAGATTTATAAACATGGAATTCTTATGATAGACCTTCAGCTAATAAAGCCTAAATAAGCTTTGATTTATAAATCTTTCATTGTCCTTAGGACTCAGGTGGCTTATTTATGAGTCGGGATGTTAAAATCTATAATTTGATCAGGTGTAAATCTTATTCTGTGGTTTCCCTTTCAACATGTGATTCATAAAGCCTAGTCAGTGTAAGCTTTTGGTTTTCAGAGTGCTCTGTATTTAGCAGGGAGCCTCATACATCCACATTTTGAGGTTTTGATGAAAAGAGTGGTTGTTTGCATACAGTTCAGTTAAATAAAAGCAGCAGATAAATAGAATTTTCTCTGTATTCTAAACAGGGTGTTAGCAGAAGTGAGCTCTAACCTCATTAATTATTTCAGTGTTTTGCTTAAAGAACACTAAAATGTTGCAATTAAAGTCTTCCTGAAAAAATAAAATAAGGTTCTTTCCACCTGTTCACCAGTTACATGGGACTGGTGTGTCAGACATGTTCAGCTATCTTCTAATATCTAATCGCCTTCATTCGGTAGTAACTGGATTTAGTGGAGTGCAATGGCTTCCTAGATAAACTCCACATTCCCTAGCACTGTTCAGCTTTCTGTCCATCGGATGCAAGCAGAGGTGTTATGGGTAACATCAGCACACATTCTGGCTGGCGTGCAAAAGTAGCTCAGGTCAAAGTACACAAAGGGGGGCGCACAGACCCCTGACATGAGCCCTGGAAGTAGATGAAGGAGAAAACAACTTGTAACTTTTGAGACTAGTTTAAATCTCTTTTATACCTGATATTCTTTGCTTTTCCAGTAAGATTTATTAAATATGTTGTCAGGCACTCTGCTGCCTGCTGTGGAAATAAAGGTAAATGTGATTCATCCCTTCTCTTTGTTAAATTTATCTTAAGTAGTAATTTGGGTTTTATTTAAATTTTTTAATTCAATTTTTAATTGATACATAAAAATTATTCATGTGTGTAAGGCACAGTGATTTGTTTCTTAATACTCTAATATAGACAATTGTTGTAAGGTTTTTTCTGAATATTGCTGTTATAGTATAAAATACAACTAGTGTTTGTTTATTGATTATAAAACAACCTCGCTAAATTCACTAGTACTTCTAGTAACTACTGCATGTATTATCGAGGTGTTTTTATATAAAAATATGTATGAACATCTATAAATAGAATTTTATTTCTCTCCCTCTACTTTTGAGTTCATTGAAATTGCTTTTATAATTACATTTTCATTTATCTATCATGTTTTTAGATTGCTTTGTATTATTGTTTCAGTGGTGCTCTACAGATTATAATATGTACCTTTAGTTTTCCAGCCTATTAAAAGTCATTGTGGCACTTCTCATAAGATGTAATAAATATACAGTCTTGAAGGTCTTTTATCCTCTGTCATCACATATCATGCTGTTCATGCCATCATTTTTGTTTTAAACAGTCATACATATTTTAAAGAAATTAAGATGTAAGTGTTTATCTGATATCATTTCCCTTCTGCTCTGTTAACTTTTCTTTTAGGGAAGGTGTGCTAAAGAAGAATTACCATTGTTTTTTGTTGTTGTTCATCTGAAAATGCCTTTATTCCTGGAAGTTGTTTTTGCTCCACATTC